TCGTTTCTTCCCTTTTTTACTCCTGGAGCTCCCGCCTACATATCACGCCCTCATCAATTTATGATCCTGGTGATATTAGAGCGTAAATTGACCCCTATAGTGACTTAGGGAGGGCAGCCAATGTTTGTTTATCCAACGATTTATATTGACCCGGCTGTCATGAACCCTTGGCTGGTCTGTCAGGGACTGGGCCAAAGACTTGACTTCAATACTCTGCGCTTCCTAGGTGATGCTTGTTGCTACCGAAAACACCTAAGCCATGCTATAATTGGATCGAAGCTCGCTTAGAACGATTGACTGTGTTGTGGAATGCATGGCGCATAAAAAAGGTCACTTTAAAGACCAAGCCTTGTCTTCTTCGAGAACCGGCAACTTACTTGATTAGTAAACTCCTAGATCAGCCATTAGAAAGGATATCATGAAGAGAATGCCTTAGCTTCTTGAAACCCTTATTGCCTGAGGGCCCATTTGAGTCCCAGACTCAAAAATGGTATATTCATGCTTAATAATGCCACATACTCTGTGACACGGTAACGCTAAGTCGTCACACTTTTGCAGGACACGCTTGACGAAGAATGAACTCCTGTTGGGATCGTATTCGTACATGAGTCAGGCTCAAGCTCGAGCGCGTATCTCCCACTCCCGCCTCGCGATTCCCGTCAAACACAACAAACACCCGAAGGTGCTGTTTGCAGGAGAAGCTACCCATCACAGGTAAGACGAACTCACTTATGTCATGAGAAAATCTATCAGATGTAGGGGCGATTCGCATTTTTCCACTAAGTGAAAAGTAGACTTTTATGAGTTTTTCACTCCCACTAAGAATGTTTTCTAGGTTGTTCCAAACAGCCATTGGCGCCTACCTCAGTGGACGCCGAGAAGCTGATCGCTTGAACGCCGATTGGGAACTTACTCCAAGGTACCCGCTCAGGGGAACTGGTATCCATGCTGGCCATGTTGAAAATCACACCGTAAGAGTAGATAACATTCCTCAACGTCGACCACCAATCGAACTTCATATGCACTCAAGCTATACGTAACAGTAGAGATGAAGGACGTTTCCCGTGATTATGACCTAGCTACTAATGTTCACATACGTTCGGTTGAATAAAACAATTTAGCAGAGAAATGTATTCTGTTGCTAATGACGGTGCCTAAGCTAGTGAGTGCAGTAATCGAGAGATCCTTCAAATTTTCTTCTTACTAATTGTTGTGGATAAAAGATAGAGTGACGGAAACATCGAGCTCAGTCTTGTCCAAAAGTATTACACAAAACGCAATCTGACATCAACCCCTCAGCATTTTCTTCAAATCATCGCCGATCCGAGTGTCACAGTGGAGACTAATGGTAAGACGCTAGCACATCCGCCACCACAGTCCGTAGAAAGAGTCAAAGGCAATACAAATCAATCAGGATTGACAACAACCACTAGCAGTAACTTTTTGCGCAGTGCGGATGCGTGGCACATCTCAGAAACGAACGATAAGTTTCACATAGGTCAACGAAGCCTATCATCTCAAGGTAAAAGTGAGACTTCAAATCGAACTCCTTTCCCTTGGAATCACTCTTCCTCGACGAGCTGCTAATTCCCTTGAAGACAGACCTCGAGCTTAAGTTTGATGCTGGCCCACTTTCGCGATTCCCCAGCAAGTGAGGTGCCGTCGCAAGTTCAAGTTCCGACCACCGCTCAACTGGACCCCACTTGAAAAGTCCACTTCGCACCTAACGCAGGAATACAAGGAGTTCAGTGAACGAAATAATTGGACAGTAAGCATAGCACTTACCATTAGGAATGCGTAATTCCCGGTCGCTCACACGCCCACGCAAAGTATTTCTCCCTTCCATTTCACTGGGTTCGTCCAAGTCAGGTTTAAGTGTTTGTATTAAGCTCCAGTCGGATCGCCCGGCTGACGCCGAGCTCTCCTCCTTCTCTCTAGCTCGGCTTCGC